TGCAGCAGGGGTCGGGGGCCTCGGGGCAGCTGGCGGGGGTTGGGACTGAGGGAGAGGGCGGGGCCGTCAGGGATCCCTCCCATGGTCCCCTCCCCGCTCCTCCAGCCCCCTCAACCCCTTACTCACCGGCACCGGAGCCCTGATGCTGAAACATGCGGTGTGGCCGGCCGCGTGTTTCAGCACCAGGGTGAGGGCCAACTATAGAGATGCTCTATAGCAGCCAGAGCAGCCACAGCATCTCCATGGAGGACTCAGCCTCTGGTTGCCTCAGGGCACGGTCCCTAACCATGCCCTGCCCTGTTTTTTTAAACATCAATTTTTTGATGGATTAGATATCCAGGGGTCTAATTTTCTTCCCATGCTGCAAGTTTGCAGCGCGAGGAACGTTTTTTTGTTCCCACATGTGCCTGTTGCCCTGCCTCAAAGGGGTTTCAGGCAGGGCAAGAGGCATGTGAGTGCTCGTGTGGACATGCCCTGTAAAGTGCACCCACACATGCAAGCATTTGTGCTTGCAGCAGCTAAAATAGAAGTGATGCAAATTTGAGCCAGGGCTTTTTGTCTCAGCACATGTGCTTGGACATGCACTTTGTTGTGGAGCAAATTGTGCCACTTGGGGCAAAATAACCCGGCCTGGCTCTTCCTGGATCTACAGCCAGGGGTAGCTAAAGCCTGGGGCCAGCACCTGTGCTGTCCCCATCAGTACAAAAAGCTGCCTTGGCAAGTAGCTTAGGGCCAATCGCTCTCAGGAGCTTCTGGGGCCTGGCCAATTGGTACCTGGGGACACTAACCCTTGTGCCAGCTGGACTGCTGAAGCAGCCCTGAGAGTTTCCTGCACTCTTTACCCACTGCAGCAGTCTGGCAGTGGGGGATCTGCTGCGCACCTGCCAGACCTGGATGAGACAACTGACCCTCTGAGCCAGCTGCCAGTGGGCTGTGGCTGCAGAGTTAGCCTTTGTGTGGCACTATTGCTATGTGTGCCCCCTGCCTGGCCATCTGCCTGCCACCCCCCCCCAATCCCTTCCCCAGCAGGGAAGGGGGGTGTGGGGCTCAGAGGTTAGGCAGGGGGTGGGGCCAGGCAGGGAAGGGTTGGGGGAGCAGGTGGGGGGTGGGGCCTGGCAGGGAAGGAATGTGGGGGCTGGGGGAGCAGTGGAGCCTGGGTCCAGCTCCCTGCTGCTGGCACACTGCCTGACTTCACGAGCAGGCAACGTGCTTCAGCACCAGGGCAAGGGCTAACCATAGAGACGCTCTGGCAGTCAGAGCATCTCTATGGAGGACCCAGCCTCCGGTTGCCTCAGGGCACGGTCGCCCCGCTTTTTTTTTCTGCGGGGTTTTTTGACCCGTAGATATCCAGGGATCTAATTTTGCCCCCATGCTGCAAACTTGTAGCACAGGGAACATTTTCTTGTTCCTGCACATGCCTCTTCCAGCGCCTCAAAGGGGTTTGAGATGCTGCAAGAAGCACCTGCAGGCTCGTCTGGATGCGCCCTGTGAGATGAATTCAAAACAGTTTCAAGAATAAGATATTCAGTTAGTGCTGATGGCTGTAGAAACAATATGTTGTAATATGAGAGTATATTAAAGAGTATTTGAGCTGGTATTGTGGTATGCTATATTTCACTTGCACTTGGACAAAGAACATCGCTTCAGATAAATTGTATTTCTAACTTTGTGCTGCTGGAAAACAACTGAACTGACAACTGGTATTATCCCTCTTTAATTTTGTTTTTTTTCAGTAAATCACTGGGGCAGCATTGAAAGAGAATGAGGGGGGGAGGGCTTGGTATCACACATTTTAAACCAGCTAAGAAAGATGGACTTGGGAAAATTTTGAGAAGATGATAAAATGTTTGTTGGAACTTTGCCCTCCAGCTGTAACTTTATTGATGTCTTTGTTCTGATCTTGCCCAGCCATGGGTATACTTAAACTGATACTATGTACTTGCTACTGAATTGGATGTCTTATTACATTTTTATAAATGTGCATTTTTCTATTATATACAAAAATAGAACTGTCTCTTTTTATTTCAATCTAGCCAATCCCTTGGGCATACTTATAGCTAACTTGGTGTCACCTGCACTTGTGTCTGAAGGAAAGGATATCCCAACGATGGTAATGAAAGCTGATTAATTAGTATTACGTGTCCTTTGGATTCATTACAATTTAGTATACTCAATAACATTGGTGTTGGATGAATTATTTATATGACTCTACTTTGGGCTTGCAGCTTGGAATTTATGCCATTCCTGCAGTAGTAGCCTGCATGCTAGCAGTAGCTGCTGTACATGACAAGGTCCCTCCAACTCCACCATCGGCAAGTGCTACAAATTCTACCTCCCAGCCATTTTTCACAGGCTTGAAAATGGTAAGTGTATAGTAAAGCACAGTAAATTTCACTTCATGGTCAAATGTGCCATCTGGCTTCCATAATGTCACCTTAAGGAATACAACTGCTGTGGTTACTGGTCAGCAGGAAAAGGGCTGTGCTGATGTTTGCTATCAAAATTACTTCAGAATAGGAACCTCTTTCTCACCAAAGGCTGAAGCTAACTGGGAGCAGACTAAGTATGTGGATATGGGAGGCACTCTGTGCCATGTCTGGGTCCAGAACACATTCTAGCACATCACTGCCCTCCTTGGACTGGGATCCATGCTAACAGTGTCAGGCAGGTGGTCATCAAGTACTTCCGTATAGAGCAAAATATCCCTTCCCACCAGCTCAGTAATATTTCCCCCTCCAAAACTTGTTGTATAAAGCATAATCACAGCATCTACTACCTCCAGTCCATATTTCATTCATTCTCTGACTGGCTTTGCTTAGGATTTAAGGGACCCACTGAACTACCTTTAAAAGAGCAAACTTTGATGCCTTAGCAAGCTGTTTCTAAAATGTATAACTGCAGCTATCTTTAATGGGTTAGTTCTCACAATAATACTTGGTGCATCTACATGTGCAATTAATGCACCCGAATTTTCTGTGCAAAAAATTCAGGCTCATTAAAAGCACTCCCTGCTGCATATCTGTGTGTGCCCCTGTCAGGAGTAAATTGAGCCCGATAGAAAGAGCCCAATCCAGGGCTGCTCCTGCTCTGTTCTATCCCCCTGCAGCAGCCAGGGGGAGCTCCAGGTTCCCCACTCATGCCCCATACCCCCTGGCTGGCAGAGGGCACAGGGGCTTAGCCCCACGCTCCAGAGGGCAGTGGGGAACTATCTCAGCTTGGCAAGCAGCTCTGTCCCAGCCAGGGGGAGATTGGGTTGGCCCCAAGTTTCACGGGGGGAGGGGTGTCCTGTCTGGGTTGGCAACTGCTTCCCAGCCACGTGGAGACTGGGATCCATCCCGATCTCCACAGGGCAGGGAGAGCGGTCGTGGCTGCCAGGCAGGTGGCTCCCAGCCATTTGGAGATCAGGACCCATCCCGATCTCCATGTGGCTGGCAGGAAGTGTCTCACGGAACCAAGACAGCTCTCCTCGCCCCCTGTGGTCCCTCACTGCCTAGGCTGATGGGGAGCAATTTGCTCTGGGGCAGCGTCTACACGTGTGGTATGGCACATTAGTTAATGCACTGTTTTTCTAGTACCTGTATCACCTACTGTTTCCTAAACTAGAGTAGGGCCAGGAATCTGGTACTAAGCAGTTTAAGATCTGTCTACCTTTTCAATGACTGTCAGGTTCTTTTGCTAGTTTCCTTTCCATTTGTATTAACCAACACTTTTACATTTGCAGCTTATGAAAAATAAAGCATACATCATCCTGGCAATCTGTTTTGGAGCTGGGATTGGGATTTTCACCTGCTTTACAGCTCTTTTGGAACAGATCCTCTGTGTAAAGGGGTATTCCAATGTAAGTCCTTTCTAGTTGCTGAACATTACTTGTTATACAGTTGAAATGATCTGTCACTGACTACACAAAGTGAGATGAATATTATTTTATTGTTTTTCTTAATAATTAATAAATAAACACCAAATCTGTTTAATATCTGGATAGGACATATAGGGCAGGACTTCAAGGTTTTAAAGCACTGTATGGTGATAAATTGTGGCTGCAGGGAACAGGATACCAATATTCTTAAATTTCAAAAAGGGAAAATTAGACTGGGTATTAAAACTTTATGTTACATTGCTTAACTACTGGAACAGATTGCCTATAAGAGGCTCTGATAGCTCCATCACTGAAAGTTTTTAAATGGAGATGTTTGCCTAGACAAAAATTTGTCTAGGATGGCTTATACAGAAGTGATCCAGCCCTGAGCAGGAGTTTGGACTAAGGACATTTTGAGGTCCCTTATTTTCTATGGATCTTTATATTCTTTCAATATTCTAGATTATCTGCAGTTTAATTAGTGTCCTCAGCTACATTACTGCCTGTAAATTAAATACTTCTTTCATTGGATTTTACTTAATAAAATAGAGACTTTGGGTTCCTTCCAATGGGGTGTCATAACTACATGTGTCTGTAGGTTAGCCTCAAATGCTCAAGCTGAGAGACTGGGTGGAACAGGAAGCTGAAAACAAAACAAATTGGTCCCTTTGTTTTCATAAGTATTCCTGGCTAAACTCATGTGCACAGATAAATTCACATGTTGCTTATATTTTATGACACCACAATATATATTCCACCAGAGAATGAGCCACAAGAGGGGTTCTAACCAGTTTGGAAGGTTACCAGTCACAGAGGGTACAGACAGACCATGTCTGACATCTCATTTGTGCCACCATAAAACTTTTTATGGTGGCACAAATGGTGAGCAAATTGACATCACTACCTTTGTCATGCTACATCAGAGGAAAATCAATGGGATAACAAAAATTAGTAATAGATTCTGCCACTTATTGCAGCAAATGTCCATTAGCTTTGTGGCAGAAGGGTGCAGGCAGCCTGAACTACCTGCATTCTCCAGTCACCGTGGGTACATGTTCTGATGGTTTGAGGGCCCCTCAAACCCTTGGAGCACCTTCCTGGGATTACCTTGCTTATAGGGAGGCACTCTGAGGAATCTTGTGACACCTTTCTGAAAGTAGGCAGTGGAGGTTCACTGCTGACAGAGACCTGCCCCTGATCTCCATGAGCAGTCTTCATAAGTGGGGAAAGCCTGCATGGGTCCCAGTGTGGAGGTATGGTACCTGGGGCATCCCTGGTGGTCTGCATCCACTGGGGACCCACTTACTCAGACCCACCCTTGGAATCTCTAAGGACCTGTCTGGATGAGTGGGGAAGGTTGGACTTTCTCTCTTTACCCAGACCTTCCCTGGAGATCCCAGGAGCAGGTCTGGGTAAGTGGGGAAAGCCATCAAGGGATGGAACAGGGGGCAACATGTGTTTCACCGCATGAAGCAGATCAGCTATGTTGCAATAAATCATGGCCCAACTGATCCTCTTCATTTGGTAATATCTATTTCTAGCCTAACACAGTATCACTACAAAGTTCTTACTCTTCCCTTTGCCCAGGATATGATCTCCAGTGCAACTCAAGGAGGGAGTTCTCTAAGATTTCTTCTTTCATGCCCAGAGCTTACTCAAATCCTGTTACATTTTTATTCCTACAGAACTGAAGTGCCAACTCACTGTCATGTTATCTTGATGGCTTGCCCTTACCCTGGTCCTGTCCCACCTAAATGACCACAGATTGCTTTCTTACGTTGCATGGGCAGTAACTTCATGCTTGAGCCTGTATGAAAATCTGCTGCCACAGTAAACTCTCATCCATTAGCTGCATCATGTCAGTCCTTCTGAATCATGCTGTGGGCTTTCCATTAAGCTGCACATGAAGGTCATAAGTACATCCCTTTCCTTCAAGGCCATGCACACTGGAAAACCTTAGCCTACGTCCACAACAGACATGGGCTCCTGGATGTTTCCTCCACTTCATTCCCTGCCCTTTTTGCTGTGCTTAGGAGACGTGTTCAGATATTATTTGTTGCATTTCTTTCAAGCATCTGACTACTCTCAGGATGGTCTTTAACCTTTAAAAAGTGTTCCCAGATCAGTTGTTCTTAACCTTCAGGTGGTAACTCCAGGTGGCACTCATCATGGTGTTGACACAGATTAAGTTAAATAACAGAGGGAAAAATGGTTTGTGCTTTAACTCCATGTAAATGAAAGCATTTGCTTAAAAACGGAGGATGGTTGTGAAGAAGGGGCAAAGAAAAATGATCAGAACTAACTTCAGAAACAAAAGAAACAGTTGAATGGATAACCTAATAGAAGAAAAAGACCTTTCAAAAGGGAAAAGGGTTGTTATAACCTGTGGAATGCATAGAGGTTAGAAAAGATAGAAGGTAGATTGTAATGAGTCAAAGCTATCATCTGTGTTTTTGTCCACTGTTTTCCATCTTTCTCAACAAGATCCAGAACATCAGTCACCTCCTCCAAGAAGGCCATATGGTAACCATGAATATCACTAGCCTGTATGTTAATATCCTGCATGATGAGTATATAACTAGCAGCAGTGTGGTATCAAGGTGCATGTAGGGCTCTTTCACAGCTTGCAGTAAACTGTGGGGTTCTGGGGGTGCAAGAGACCCCCTGGAATGCCATATGTAACAGTACAGATGTGAAAATACCCTGCTACAAAGAAGTTGCAGTTTAATCTCATTACTTCCTGTTGCAACCCGTGTGGATACAGAAAAGCAAATTATCACCTTCCTCTTTTTTTTTTTTATTTGAAGACTGTAATCAAATACAGATTCAATTCCAGATTAAATCATTCTAGTTTTTCAATCTTTCCTCTGGTCTTGTTCTCCAGACCTGTGGGCACATGATACAGTGGAGGTGGGGCTGTCGGTTGGGGGATGATCATAGGCACATGGTTCAGTGCCTGCTTGGGCACACTGGGGGAAGGGGGTTGCGGACACACAGTGCCATGGGGAGGAGTCGGGGGTGGTCACAGGGTTATGGTGCAGTGGAGGAGGCATGCAATGCAGCATGAGATGTGTTGCTCACATGGGCACACAGTGTATTGGTGGGGAGACCATGGGCATAAAGTGGTGGAGGGACCTCCACGGGTCTCCCCACCACCTCCATGGGTCCCCCCCCTCCCCCCCCACCTATGCAGTGGTGGAGGGACCTCCATGGGGTTTGCAGACTCTGGCCACTTGGAAGTAGGATAGCCCTGATTCAGAGCTAGCTTAGATATCTTTGCATGCCACTGCCTGTCAAATTAGGCACAATTATTCTCTGGTGACTGCTTTATTCTCCAGGGGTTCTGTTATCTTAAGTATGTCAAGGTAAAATTGATCAGACTGTTAGCACAGATCCACTTATCCAGGCTGCAGTCTTAGTCACCATCACAGTGGAATCTGAACTCTTCCTTTTGATATTTCTTACTGTTCTAGGTGTACATCCAGTGAAGTATTCAGGAATTGCGATGAGTAAAATGCAAAAAATTTATCAAACAAACGAATGCCTTGTGTTTATAACCAGATACTTATATTGCTTATGTCAGTAATATTGAAAAAAATCTCAGCTTCCAAATCTAATTGGCCAGTCATTCATTTCTTCTGTGTTATAGTTTTTTGCAGGCTTGAATGGTGCATTGTTTATTGTGTTTGGCTTACTTGGTGCTTTTCTCCTGGGACTATATGTTGACAGATCAAGAAGATTTATAGAATCTACCAAAATCTGTTTTGGTCTGGCTGCATTAGTCAGCATCGCATTTGCAGTAGTAAGTTCGTTTTCACACTTTATCATATTTTCAAAGAGATATCATTAAAGCCTGTTTTTTATCATTATCTGATAAATTACACAAACTCCAAATGACTTATTCAGCTATTTAGTTTCTTTATGTAACATGGTATTTGTAGTAGCTTTATATTCCTTGTTACCACAGGTGGAGATGGTTCCTTACTGACAGAAGCATTTTCATGAACGTTGTTTCTACCCTTACATTCATTTTACAACCTACAGCATTGTACAATCTGCTTTATTTTCCTCAATCTGGGAATAACTCATATTAATGTTCCACTGGATGAGGCAGATTATGAGCTTTAGCTAACATTGTGGTAGCTCCTTGAGAGTATAGAGCATTACAATTACTACGTAGTATTAATTTAAAAAATTCTGTAATTGAACATCCTAAACATACCCATTCCTTTTCCCTGACTGTGACGGTGGCTAGTACCAGATGATGCAGGAAGATACCCTGTAAACCCCCCCCCCCCCAAAAAAAAAAAAGGGTAAACTTGATAAAGAGGCTAATACTGGGAGTAATCTTTTGCTGAGCCTATTCAGTGATCAGCTTGTACCCTGAACCACATTAGTGAGGGTTTCCTGGTAGTGCACTAGAAAACTGGTGAAAGCTGGAGAAACCTCACAGAAAAGCTGGTGCAACTTGATTACAGGGCTTTATGAAAGTGAGAATACCCAATGGGAAATAGAACACAGCACTGCCAAGTAAAAATAGCTGGGATCAGGCCCACAGAATGGCCATGTTTACTGGTTACCAGAGCTGGCAAGCTTTTGCTCCTGGATAAACTAATAGTTCACACTTCTGTCAGATGAAATGTAGCTCACCTTACAAATATGAACGAATTACACCTCACAATAGTCTCTTAAAAGGTATATCTTTAACCCTACTCTTAAAAGAATAAAAAATAGAAGCATAAGGATTTAATTACATCTCCAAGGTGATATAAAAGGTCTGATTTAGAGCTATAAATTAAAACCAAGATCTCCCAGGTCACTATATTTCAGCACTAATGTGCATTCACTTCAGCCCAAATCTGTATTTATAGAGTGACAGAATTAAATGATGCTGATTTGGAAGAAACAGGCAAACTCCTTCCAATGTTTTGCTAAACTCACATTGAGAAAAAAACTAATCCATCTGAAAAAAAACGCTGGGCAAATCAATTTGATGCCTGAACAGTTATGAACATGGATTGTGGATGCGCAATCTATTCATGTGCTGGACAACTCTGTGCCTTCCTGGATCCCATAAACCAGTATAGCTAGGGAAATAGGAGCATTCTGGCTGTTGACAGGCCACAAATTTCCTCCTAGCATGCCACTTGGCAGAATCTTGTATTCAGCAGTAATGCCACTACTTTAGAAAACTGAATGAGGTTTGTTAGCACTGAACATGAGATGAGAAAGGTGGTGGTAGCACACAGAGCCATCAGAATGATCAATTTAGATTTTATTTTATTGGCTGGACAGCGCTCTTCTCTGTACCACTAACTGTGTGCTGAGGTCAGGGTTTCATGAACTGAATTGACCAGTACAATTTATGGGATCGTTTTTACATCTTTTTGTAATAGCCCCAAGGCCACAGGACTGTAAATATTTAAGAAATTAAGTTTTATTTTAGTGGACACTTACATGCCTAACTTCCTGTTTTGGAACCAAACTTAGGAGTTTTCAGAAATCTCTGGAGGCTGAACCAAATTATGGCTGAGATTGCCCCTATGTAAAACAGTAGCCTGCCTTTCCATGGTGCTTGTTCAGCCAGGAGGGATTCAGACATTAGAAAAACAAAGCTATTAATTCCCTAACCTAATTATTCACTCAATTCCACTATAGTGGGGCATGAATAGCTGTTTGAAAGCACGAATGGAAAGAGGAATTATTTTTTAGTGGAAGAAAGAGGAAGTATATACCAGTATTGGTGTATACTGGCTGTCACGTTGAATTACTGTGGAAACTGACCATATAAACTGGCTTAACACTAAGGCTTTGGTATTGTATCTCTGACTGCAGATGACAAGTTTCAGAAATCAGGCTATTCCTTTGGCTTTGATCTGCTCGCTGTTTGGGTTCTTTGGATTTTCTGTTTACCCAGTTGCTATGGAACTGGCTGTTGAATGCTCCTTTCCAGTGGGAGAGGGTACATCCTCAGGCCTGATTTTTGTATCAGGGTAAGTAGCCAATTTATACTCATTTAGAACATAATTCAGCCATTGACAGCAGGCAACAGAATTAATTTCTCCTTTACCTGCCCTGAGTTCTAGTCACTGACAGTTTCTTCCACCTGTTATCCACAGTTATTAGTGAAGGTTGGTGGTGGTAGCAGCCAACTGTCAGGGCATTTTCATAAATAGAGGGAAAATAGATACAAGCCACTCAGCTAATGCAAATAGATACAAGCCACTCAGCAGATGTACAGACTGATTTGCTTCCACTGGCAGCAATAATTCCATGTTGCCAGAGAGGGGCTTTTCAGAGCACAGTCCTTCACAGGAAAACAGTATAAAGAGAGTGCTATTCAGAGCCCAGTCCTTCACAGGAAAACAGTATAAAGAGAGTTGTAGGCTTGGTGTATGGAAGGAAAGCATGAAAGCCAAAAGGGAGCTCAGAATCTATCCTGCTCAGTGTGCTACTGGGAGATAATTCTTCTGAACATCTGGCTTTAAAATGGACAGAAGCTATGCATTCCCCCAGGAGGAGGAGAAATGTAAGTTCCCTGGGCAGTGGAGGGAATGTCAAGGATAAATGCGAAGGAGATTGCGTAATGATTTGTTGCAGATCCCAATACATGACAATATGCTGATCTATGACAGCCCACACCCCTTCAAGAGCCAGGGGCTTCCTTGATTTGTCACAGGTTTGGACACCTGTTCTTTTAACAAATTAGATTGGAACATTTCCTTTTATGGCCCTGCCTGAAGCAAGTTGTCCTATCATGGGTAGCAGTTGTGCTGATTCAATAATAAGAGTGCCTGCACATGAGTGTGGAGGCTGCTCCAATGTGTTGTGATTACAGCACATCGGAGCAGACTTGATTAACTGAGTCTGCTGGAGTATGGTAGTTACTGTGCTCCAGCAGCCTCCCATATCTCATGTATCAGCATCTCCACACTTCAAAATGGTGGTGGGGACACTTGAACTAAAGCTCATCAAAATCTGAAGCACGGGGACACTGATACCCAAGACTTACTGAAGTGGAACATTTGTCCCATGTTGGGAAAATGTAAAGCTAGTAAAACATAAGAGAACATAAGGAGTCAAAGCAGCAAGAGACTGTCCCATTTCACTGATTGTGTGGTTTGTTATGGTTAAACTATTTCATTAATAACTGATGATTCTTCTTTCCACAGTCAGATCCAAGGAGTGATCATCATGAAGCTGATGCAAGCCCTCATAGTGCAGATTCCTAAGGATCCACTTTCTACTTGTGCTGGAGATGAAGGCGGGACAGTAGATTGGATAAGTCAGTATCTATCCATTTCTCTTAGAATTCATTGCTGTGCTTAGCAGAGGGGTGCCCCTTCTGATCGCCATGGTGTTTAGGACCTTCCTCTTTTACCAGTTCATTCCCAGCTTTGTTTTTGGCCCAAGAGATGATTACTGGCCTATGTCCCTCACATGTACCTGCTGGCACTCTCCCAGCATATGTCACCATTACCCCATTTTGTATTTGGAATAGTGAAACAGAGTGCCCCTAGAATACCCTTCATGTTACTCACAATTTCAGTTTTAATAATGTGACAGGACCCCCCCCCCCCCCCCTCCTTGTCAGCCAAAGCCATGAGGGTACAAACTCCTCACAAGGTAAGATACTCAAGTACAGGACAGCTAAATTTAGGGATAAAGAAAAACCCCACTTTAATTAGGGAAAACAGTGCAAAATAACTGGGGAAGACGGAACACAAGATAAATGTTTAAAACATACTTTTCACTCTCATACCTGGCCAGTGCTTGCTTCTTAGTTCCCAGTGGATTCCAGTGGTAGGCAGGAAACATCACTATCTTTGCAGCAAACTCCTCCTCATTCCCAGAGGTCTCAGCTTCTCTGCTGGCTCTCAATAAGTTGCTTCTGCCCCACTACTCCAGCCTTTTCAGTTGCTGTCCCCATGTGGCAGACTTCCTGTCTTCACTCTCTTGGGCTTCATACCAGCAGGCTTCCATGGAGTCTGGCAGGCTGCAGGCACACCCAATCCCTCTGCAATCCAGCCATTAACCTGTCAGAACAAAACCCATCCAGATAAACACTTCCAACATATAACATGAAACAAACATACAACCACATAATCATCACAATTACTTTTCCACCCACCCTGGGAAAACTTTACTAACCAAGGGAGCACCAGTTCTGACTAGTAAGCAAAATGCACTATCCAAATAAGCCAGACTTGATGAGGGTAAATATGACCTGACTGATGACAAAGAATACACTTACTGAGAAATGTCTGCTTTGCTTTCTGCAGTCACAGTTGCCCAGTTTGTACTGACTTTCCTAATAATCCTTCTTTCCACACTACTCAACAGGAGAGGACAGCACTCAGATATCAGGAGCAAGGATAAGAGTTCTCTGTAATGCATGCCTAGAGTTCTGAGCAAACTGATGGCTGAAGAATCACAGGTTTTGTTGAATTTCCTAAGACTAGTTCATTGCTCCAGCTGGTGCTATTTGTAAATTGTCCCAAGGGACAGGACACAAATGGCAATCCATAGACTGCCAGACTGTCAAGGGTAGACAGTTGTTTTGGGAAATCAGAATTTCTAGCCATTCTCCCCAAGATTAACAAAGAATATTGATAATCACCAGTAGGAAAGGCCCAATATTTCTGCAGTTAAACTACCTGCCATTCAGTTAGGTGGGGTCAAGATCCCGCTATTTCCTTTGGAAAGTGCTAAAAGTGATTAATTTGACAAAGGTAATAGAACAGGGGTGGGCAAAATGGTAGATCCGAACAGCAACCAGACTCCATTTCCCAGCAGCCTGTGCCCAGAGAGCTGGGGCCAGTTTCCATGGAGACCCCAGCTGCAGCTGCACCGTATAGCGCAGAGCTGGGGTTGCCATGGAGATGAGCCCCAGCCTCGCTGGCAGAGCAGGGCAGGGGGCTGCTCAGGAGCCCTGGGATCTTGTGGCAGGGGCAGCTTGGTCCGGGGCCAGGGCAGAGCTGCGATCTGCAGCCTGCATGCTTGGGGCAGAGGCACTCAAGCAGCGGATTATGGCTCTGCCCCCATTCAGAACCACATTGTCACCACTGCCAGGAGCCAGGGCAGAGCTGTGATCTGCAACCTGCGCGCCCCGGGCAGGGACATGCAGGCAGCGAATCATGGCTCTGCCCTGGCCCCAGACCAAGCTGCCCCTGCTGCAAGGTCCCAGGGCTTCGGAGCAGCCCCTCTCCTGGCTGCCACATGCCCTGCCAGTGCAGCTGGGGCCAGGCTCCATGGCAGCCCCAGCCTTGTGCTATCACAGAGCAGCTGCAGCTGGGATCACCATGAAGACTGGCCCCAGCCATGCAGCAAGGGCTGCTGGGAAATGGAGTCCACTGCTGGCAGGATCCAGCCCGGAAGCTGGACTTTGCCCACCCCTGTAATAGAAACTGAAGTTGCTAACATGTAAGAGAGATTTGTCCCAGCAAAAAAAAATGTGAATCTTGGACACATTAAGGTCCCTGGCAGATTTCACATTTATGAAATGTGTCGTTGGATGCTCCCTGGTTCCTGGCTGCACATCCACCACTTCCATTCTGGAGCATGTGGCTGGGACTGGAGAATTCGCTGATCCCCAGTTGCATATGTCCCTGAACCATAGTCAGTGTGAAGCTGGGTGCATGTGCACCACAGACAAGTCTGCAATGTGGACAGCTGGGCTGGGGATGGAGGAGCTCCCCAGTTCCCAATGGTGCAGGTAGATGGGGATGAGGGAGCTTCCCCATCCCCAGCCATGGTCAGATCTAGAATTTTGAAAAGGGGGGTGCAGATGGTGAGGTGCATCATCACATATAAAAACAATGCATATTTTTTTCCAGTTAAAAATACACTAGAAGCTTTACCAGTAAACTAGGGGCCTAGGGTTGTATTAGTCAGTTTAAGATCAAAGTAGAAACAAATATAACTTCATTGGAATGAGTTAAAAACAATGTGCAAGGCTGTGAAATAGGAGCTTCATTACCAGGAGTAGCTGACATGGAGAAGAATTGCAGAACAAAGCTTGCCTGATGGGCCATCAAGACCATTAAAAGAAGAGGGGGTCATTAACACCTGTGGAATTAAGTGCTTAGAAAGGATCAGGTAGATTATAATAAGCGATCTAGTCAATTGACTCCCTCAGCACTGCCTAACTGCCACTGCCTCCTTCAGCACAGAAATGCTGCTGCCACTGCCAGGCAGTTTGTTTTAAACTTTGGGTGGACCAGGAATCAATGAGAGGAGGTGCAAGTGCACCATTGCACATCCTCCTGGATCCACCCTTGTCCCCAACTGCCTGCTCTCAGCACACAAGCACCTAGAAACACGCAGACTGTGAACTGGGGAGCTCCAGGCTGACACACAGCTGGTTGGTGAGGAACAAAGACTAACACAATTTAATGTTTCCCCCTCTTTCCCCAGCCCTCTTAAAAAATCATCTGCTACAATACATTGCATCATTCCACATGTGTTCAAGTCTGTTCTGGTAAATGTCTCTTGCACAATTATTTACACCATGGTATGGAGACACTTAGTGCCAGATCTGTTCTGCTTATTAGGCACCTAAGTGAACTAAGGCACTTAAACATAATCCTATTATACTCTGCCTGAGACACTGAAAACTGTTAATACAAAACTCCTCTTTGCTGATTTTTGTAACATAGTCATAACACACAGTCTTAATACGCATGTTGACAGTTTTTTTTGTGGGAAAGGGGGGAATGGAAAAGGGTGAAATAGGATCATACTAAAATATCTAAAAAGTAGTTAGGCAAACAAGGTTCTTTGAGTGAATCTGATACCTTTTATTAGATCAACTTAAATACTTGGAATAAAAATTTAAGCAAACGTTTTTTGCAACTATTTTTTCCTCCAACTATTTAAGTTGGTCTAATAAAAGATATCAGATTCACCCAAAGAACCTTGTCTGCCTATGTCCTTAGACCAACATGGCTACAACCTACACCCCTGTAAAAAGTAGTTATGCACTTTAGGCAGATTAGACTCTAGCTATTGGTAGCATCTATGCATATAGAGAAGGAAAGCATTTTCTTGAAGTAGCATAAAGGTGAGATTACAGCTTCTAGGATCAATCTAAACACTTATTCACAAACAAAACCAAAATCTTTAAAAAATCATTAAAGTGAAACATTGTCAGGAAACCCCAAAAGATAGTTGCATCTGTACCATTGCACCATTGCCTATTGTGATAGTGTCATTTAAAAACAAGTGCATCTGCTTTGCATTTATCATGCAGTATTAGATATATGCACACAACTTCATATTATGCTTATGATAATGGACCATTACCGTTAAAAGAAAATAAGTTTGCCTTTGCAAACAGTCACACATGGTATATTTGTGGTGCAGTGCATTGTGTCATTCTTTCCTCACGCTGTTGGAAAAACAAATGAATACTGGAATTATTCTAATTTCCTCACCAATGGGTGTCATGACCCAAAGGCATGATTTTGTGTGTGCTTCGGCACCAGAATTATCCCCGCCAAGTTGCAGCTTCATTGCACGGGAGAGTTTCCTGTAGTAGAGGAAAACCCTGGTGCAGGGACGAGTTTCCCGCCTTTCTGCAGCTTCTTTTGCAGAGTGCATTGCTCAAGTTGCAAGAGGAATGCACGGTGCAAAAGAGTTCCCGCTACCGGTATGCAAATTCGTTCTCCGCTATTGGCTAGTTTTAAATTATTCCCACGTGGCGGCTAACGATTGGCCTGTTAGCCGTATAAGAGGCTTGAGCAGTTTCCGCCCAAGCCGAAGAGGACTCCACATCCATCTCGTGGGGACTCTAGGTACATGGCAGGGTAATAGAGACCCTGTGTGAGATTCAGAGGAGCTTGGCGACCTGATCCATCGCCCACCTCTTCCCGTCTTCGATCGCAAATTTTATAAGACATATCTACAATTTCGATTTTGGTGGCGCATTCACCCAGAGCATCCGGAGCTCTGTTCCGTGGAGCCTAGCAACCTCCATGAGACCGTCCGTGTTGTCTGTGTCTGTAACCGCAACTCAAGCAAGTTTTCCAGCCTACACCACTGCCATCTCGGTGTAAGTAAACAATCTTTAAAACTACCGCTAAGCGTTTGTGCCTAATTCCAGCTCGTCGCCCTCCCTCTCCGATCCAGCGTGCCCGGGCTGCTGGCCACAGCCTGCATGCAGCACGGAAAAGGGCTCGGGTCGCTCCCGGCCCGCACAATGGGATGGTGCAAAATCTGAACCCCTAAGGGCATGTCTGCATGTCATGCTACATTGTCGTAGCAATGTGCTATGAAGACATAACAAATATGTGCATCTACACATGGAAGTACTTCCAAAAGGAAGTACTAAAGCATGGCAAAGTAACAACGTTGCCATAGGGCAATGTGTAGATGCACCCTAAATGACTACCTTCTTGAAAACATCTAGCCCATTGTGACTATGTGAATAATTAATAGGCACTCGTCTTCAACCAGCAGCATCATCTTTAATTACAGTTTAGCAATAATATTATTAGATAGAAAACAAACTTAATTGCAAGCAAGCATAGCTGACCTCTGTACATCAGCAAACTTTCACTGGTGCTGTTTTAGAATAAACCACATTAAAAGAACGTTGCCTTGGTTGTCGAGTTAAACAGTCAACAAGTAGAAAGTACCATTATTATAACTGGCTATGCAAACCTTATTCCTGTCATGTGTACATTCATCTTCAACGCTGAAAGGGGTAGGTTCCTGTGGAACCATGTGATTAAGTTGTTAAAGACTATCATAATGTATCCATGCAACATTGTATGAACAATCTTAAATATGACATTTCCTATATTGAGTATTTTTTCTTGAAACATTTTCTTTAAACATTTCATTTTTAAATGTTTTCATAAGTTTTTAGTGCAATTTCCTAGATTTCTTCAAACAAACAAACATTCATTTTTGCACATTTGTCACAGCCCCACCTGCACTATAAATAGGAGTTGCATCCTGAGTCTTCAGCACTGCAGGACAGAGTACTTTCACTAGAGCTACGACATTTGCTAATTATCTGGTAGTAAAAGAAAACTGTTATCCTTAGAGGAGATAAAGGCAGCTGTCTCCCCTTCTTATGAGACATGTCTTATGAGACACACTGCTGTACCCAGAGCAGTGTGCTGTACCTAGTGCTGTACCCAGGCTGCTAGAACCATGTGCTGTGTCTACACTTTAACACATTATAAAAGCTGTGGATCTCAGAACCTGAGAAAAGCAGGCATTGGATAAATTAGCAAATTAAAAACCAAAAAACAGAGCCTTACAGACCTTATAAATAGGATACATAACTGAGACAATACCAGGCAGAATAGAGTTGGGCAATTATTTTGGCTGAAGGGTCACTTAATGAGTTTTGGTGAGCTGTTGAGGGCCTCACACATAAAATCTTTCAGAAGACATAATTTTAACAAATTATAAGTAAAAAAACCAAATCATATACTAAAAATCAAATATCTACTATAACCTCATTTCATTTTTTTTTAATTGTCCTGATTTATGGGTTTTTTTGAGTAGTGTATACAGAGGCAATTGCACAATAGCTCAAAATACAGCCTTGTATATTATATGGGGGTGGGGAAGAGGTATGTGCAGGAGGTGTATGGGTGTATGTGTGGGAGGTGAGAGGGGGGTGTTCATCGTGCCAGGTGGCCGAATGGGTGGAAGGCAGCTGGGAGGTGGAGCTGGAGCCCCATGTGCAGGAACAGGAGGCACCTGGCTGCAGCTTCCCTCTACCTAGCTTGGCATTGGCTGCTCAGCATACGTCCCCATGGCTTCTCCACATTACCTGCTGCTTGGAAAGGCACAGCAGGTGCAGGAGGAGGAGTAGCCACTGGAGGCAGGGGGGAGCCAAACAGTACCTGGGTGGCTGCAACATTAGCCCTGCCAGGAAGCTGACCACACTGGCCGGGGCTGGGGCTGCGGGTGGTGCTGTCTGGCAGGAGTGGGGTGGGTGCAGGTGAGAACACAGCCCCATATAGAGCACTGCGCGGGGAGCCGTGGGCTGAATACAGTCAATTGGTGAGCACCTGCCCATGGGCCAGGCCCAATCAGTTGGCAGGCCACATGCAGCCTGCAGGCCATATTTTGGCCACCCCTGAATTAGAAGGACACGCATCTTAGTCTGTTATATCATGTATCAGCATCCAGAAGAACACAAAATCTGGATATTGTATGTACATGGATTCTTTGCCCATTATTGAAATGCAGCTGTCTCTGGTACAGAAAAGGCAGCATCTTACATTTCAACAGCATTGTAGACCACATTGTTAAACAGGGAAGTGAAGACATCCTCAGAGCTAGAGAGGCAATATTATCCAGGTGAGAATTTCAGGAGGACACAGCAGACAGTCTTGTGTCTCAGGGTCTTGAATGAAAAGACAAAAGATGGGGACTTGATTCCACATCTCTCTTCTAAACCAGTTGTCTAGATAGAGCTGGATATTAACTTTTACTTGTTTCTTCTTATATAGACTCAACACTGGGGATGGCTGGAATACTCAGTGCTACTGCCTGCTTTTATATCATCTTTTTCCACACTGACTACAGAAGGCTGCATGCTGAAGCATTTGATGGTTCCTCAGTCAACAAAATGGAAGATAAGGAAGTCATAGCTCCTGGAGTCTAGAACATCTAGACTTTATCATACACTGACATGCTGATAAAGGATGATTAATCTTTGCATATGGTCAGCTAGCACACTGGGATCTTAACTTTGGCAGAAATGGGCTAGAACACTTCAAATACGTCTCTGTTGTGCCTAATTAGTTAGACTAGACCTAGACTAGACTAATTTACAAAGGTGGGGGTGGGGGAAAATGTATTCAGGCTTTTGAAATCATGTTCATTCAGTTCTTGAACAAAGGAGGATTGGATAACTATGTAAATAAAATGAATGTTCAGTTGTAAGAGTGAAAGTTTGAAAAAGGTGTTAGAGAAGAAATGTGCATCATGTTTTATGTCCACCTATAACTCTTAAGGTTTGACATGAGAACGTCATAGGAGGGGCCAGTTTCACCACACCCACCTTTCATCTTTTGGGCACACTGAAGTTAGAATACAGGACTATAGAGATACCCATGTCCCTTGAGAGTTAAACCAAGGGTGAACTTCTGTCAGTGGAGTGGTGTGGAAGCTGGGAGTTCAGCTTTTCTATTTCTGTTCACATCAGCAGTGGTTTATTGTATATTCTGTAACAAGCACTCATATTGCAAGCAAGAACATTGTTTGATAATAACCTATGACAATTTACCTGTCAAGATGAGATTAAAAATATTTTTAGTGCCAAGTATAAGAGAAATTAATAGTCAGGAGATATTAAAATCATTGGCTTTTAATAACAACCTTCCACTACCAATTCATGTGTCATCTGTTCAGTGGTGCAGAATATACATTTCTATTTTATCTTATACCGCTGCTATTTATTCAGAAACTCTTGATTATTTTTAATAGTTTAAGTTTAACAAGAAAAAGAACCTGCCAACTTCTGGAGGGTATTCATATTACGACCAGAGTGCCCAACTAACTCTAGCACACACTTGTGGTAAATAATCAAGGGAGAGTACTGTGAAAGACAAAAAGATGGGAGAATTTCAGATGCAGCTGATTGCCTGCAAAATGAACATGGCATGAACTAATAATAATTTAGGTCATTTCTCCAGCAGGTCCTGTTTGTGGCTAAGCTAAGACATCAAGGCAGGAGCAAAGGTGACCTCTCACTTGGAATATTCATGTCCCTGCTGGCTGAGAGGTTCCAGCCACACCTTGCCCCCTGGCCACCATATAGTTCAAGGGGTGGTATCCTGCATTTATTTCAGGATATCCTAGATCTGCCCACGATCCCAATTAGTTCAGCTACAGTTCTGCTGATACAATACATTAGATTACAGCTCTCTGCTACATTCCCATTATACACTAAAATTCATAGGAGGGGAGAAAAAAAATCTCTAAAACACAGGCTTTAAATAGGTGAGATACTACAATTCAAGGCAAAACTGCTTTAGAACATGCCTGTATAAGCATCTGACAAGCTGTCTTTTAGTTTGTTGAAAAAAATGACAAATTAATTTGCCCTTCCTAAACCCTCCTGTATTGGGATCAAAATGTACTTGATATATCATTACTGTTTTTTCTGTCTGCACCTGTACAGCTATTAAATGATATAATGTGCTTCTAAATATGGCTGGCTTTTGGCGCTGTTACTTTGTATATTGTAGGTGTGAACACGCATAAAGTGAACTAATCAAAATAAAAGTATTACCTTGCACCCACAATATGTATTATAGGCTATATCTCAAATGCCTTAACCATCTACTGCTAACTTAATTGTGGCTCAAGAAACATCACCACTACAAAACAAAACCAAAAACCAAATTTTCATTGTTGCCCCCAGCAATATTTGCTAACACAAATTTCTGATGTCAAACACTGAAAAATACAAGGCACAATGAGTCTCCATAACCACACTGGTCAGTTATCACACTGGTCAGCAGGAGTGTTTTAGCTTGATCATGTTAACGTCTTCTCTGTTCTCTGAGAGCATCTTTAGAAGACTAACAAGACAATGGGAAGACATTTTTACTCGGAAACTGTATTAAATATGAAAGTATTATGGGGTGTTAGATGATTGCAGAAATTCTAAGTGTGAAACAGAGATGCACTATTCATGCAACAGCATATCCTACTTCATCAGTAGGCCACAAGTATGATTTGGAAGTATGACGTACAGCTAAGTCATGCCTTAATATAGTTTGCTAGGTGTACACCTTTCATAGCAGCAATTTGTACATGTTAATCTCACTTTACATTTCATCTTCAAAACAAAGAATTCAGGGGGCTTTAAAAATATTACAGATGAAATCATTGAACATATTATACCCAGCACATCCTTGCTTTGAAGATCAAGCACTCTTGTTATTATCTCAGAACCTACATGCAAATAAGCTAATTGACTTAAGCAAATGCAAGGTGTGGCAGAATCTGGATGAGCACCCCAAGGTGGCCACACACCACGTTACTCGTAATAAATCCAATTGCAGCATCCTTGGATTTGTTAAGCCCCCGCAGTGTAATGTCATCTAGGCACTGCCATTCAAACTTGAAAGCTATAGGCTGAGCTAACCTGGTTAACTTATGTTACCTCCCGCCTCAGGGATCGTACTTATCAACCACCTGTCATATAGTTGGTAGATGTGAGATGGAGCCCAGGAGAGGTTATATTGTACCCTCCCAGCTCCTCCTTGGCCGCCACTCCTCCCATCACTCTAGCTGCAACAATAGCTAGTCTCCAGGCTCCTCATCCCTCCCTTCAGCTGCCACTTCCTGCCCTGCCACAGGAGGTGGGACAGTGGCGGGAACTGGTGGTGAACCTAGGGCACATAGTACAATGGGATATCAGAAAGGGTGTCAAGGGTATGCAGTGCAGTGTGGGGAAAGTGCAGCAGCGAAGATAGTTGCAGGCACATTGTTCATGAGTGGGAGTTGGGAGTGCATGGTTGGGATGGCACAGGCACATGGTGTAGTGGTGATGGGGGTGGGAGGGGTGTTCATGGAGTATGTGGCCTGAGGGGACTGTGGCTGTCCCTTGGGTGGCCTTCGGGGCACATGGCTTCAGCCACTTGGAATGTGGGCAGCCCTGGCTTAAACACTCTCTCCCCCAAATACGTCAAAAGGGATCCACCTTTTAATTGCAGTTTAATTCTCAAGGAGGCCTAGAGTAGGTGTAAGCAAACATGTATACAGAGAAGCTTTGCACAGAGTGTATTGTTTTTTCTTAATAAGTATAGCATGAGAAAACAAATGTCCTGAATGTAGGACCCCTCATTAACTAGAATGCTGCTAATTCACTTGTCCTTACCCAAAATTTGAGTTACAGAGAGCAGCACAGGAGTTTTTGTAGCCTGCTCTATACCTGTTAGGAACATTACATGTTAAGTGCTTCCCTAGCACAAGACTTATTGGTAGTTTCTATGATTCTAGACCACGTGAAGAAAAAAAGGGCATGTCGAGACATTTGCTGTGGAGTTGTGTAATTAGCTTTGCAGTCAATGTCTCAGCGTCTATATATGCAATGCTATTAGGACAGAATAATTAATTCTGTCATAGGTCAGTACTTGTAAACACAAGTACTATCCTACAGCAAAGTTTTTTTACCCTGCAGCAATACATGTGTAGACACTGACAGGGCTGACTAAGGTACATGGGTGCTTCAGTGTGGGGGCTGCCTGCCAGCTAGCCCTGCCCTGAAGCACCCTCGTGTCCCAGCCAGCCCCTTCGCAGCACATTGAGCCAGGTAAGAGCAGCCCCAGGCTGGCAGGCTGACCCCTCAGCCTCCCTGCCAGCTGGGGCTGCTCCAACCCAGCTCAACATGCACATTCAAACATGGTGCCCGGGAACAATAAACTCTGGTGTGATACGTGCTAGAGTTTATTGCTGCACATTAATTGCACGTGTAGACACAACCAAAGTTCAATAGGACAGGGTGCAGAATATTATGCTCAAATATTATGCAGAATATTATGCTCAGGGTGCTCAAAATATTATGGCCCCTGATCTTGAAATGTTTAGGTGTCAGCTTCCATTACAAGCTGGAAATAATAAAACTGTTAATGTATGAAAGACAAGAAATACTCACAAGGTAGTTTTACTGTATCAGAAAAGTTGGACAAAGTATTTGTGATAAGTATTTGTGTTACATTCAAGCAGCATCTTCCAACAGCTCTACTTCTCAATGATTTCATAATTTGGCCCCAAGAATTCAAAGTTAACAGCTCTCTTCAGCAGTATTGTTTAATTTTCAGAGAACTAAGAGAAATCTTTTAGTACTGTGCTTAACAGGGTGACTGGTAAATACATCACTAACCCTGACAGCAACCCAGGATGAAGTACCCAAAGTCAAAAGGAGAGATGTAGCTGGACCAGGAACAGAAAGATGTGGAGGGTATCACAAGAACTGGCTGTTCAGGATTGCCATCTTGCCCTGGCCTAACAAAAAATTAGCCAAGCAAATCAAACTCCTCGCGGTTGCTTGGTATGGGACAGCGAAAATGTATGTTATCTTACCATCCTGAGGCAGTTTCTGCTGGGAGAACTCCCCACCAACCCATTCCTTCACAATCATGATAAGTCTGGCTTCGTAAGGAGAGCACATGCAACCCTGTCGTACCATTGCTGCTCAGACACCAGGCAGACAGAGCCTCTTCTGTCTGGCCCTATAGCTGGAGAAGCGGTGGTGGAAAATTCCAGCTCCACCCTCCGACCCCAGCTGTTTGCACATCGATAGAGGCTGAGACTTCTGTACCCAGCACCAAGTGTATGGACTGGAAGCAACCCAGAAAATTGAAGTAAAATCCCATCTAGGAATATGTGACCCCTTAAAAATTTGGGGTTGACAGAGACCTCAGAAAACCCACCAAGAAAAATGCACTTTCAGGGGATAATGCCAATGGCCCTGGCAGGGAGGTGACTCAGGGAGGAGCAGGAGTCTTAGTGATCCTCTCTTCCCAAGGCCCCACACCTTCCCCGCTTGAAGCTGAGCACTGACTCTGAGCCAAAGATTAAGAGAAAAAGGGGAGCCCACGTCTAGAAATCACAATGTGTCTGAGAGCCTCCCCCAAGGGAAAGGAGCAAGCATCATTCAGTGGGGATGGCCATCCCTTTCAGGGCAGCTGCCAGCTTTCAGATGCTTCCTCAGGATGCATTTGGGAAAAGGTACTCTCAAGAGCATCATTAGTTTCCTTGACAAGAACAAATGGCAAAAAAGGTTTGAGAACTGCATATCCAAATGATTCCCTGACCATAGCTTCTTCTAATCTCAGCTCAAAATGCATCAAAGTAGCTGCACCCTGAGGAAGCAACACAGCCTTACTCTTTTGAACTAGATAAACTAACAGAGAATTGTAAACCTTGGTTACCAGGAAACCAAGTCTGACAAACAGCCTCAAGAGCGCAGCTTGACATTAGAGAATAAGCCCCAAGATTGCTAGGGGTGACTTTCTGGGCTGTCCTAGATAACACATGGCTCTTCCTTCTTCCTCTTTACTTTTTCTGTCTTCTTTTCACATCTCTCATAATGCTGACCTTTGCTGGCCCACTAAACACAAATGGATGCAGGGATAAGAAATTATACCACTTTCTTGCAAGAGCTGAGCATAAAAAGGGCCAACCAGCTGGACTAGCACACCACCTGGAGAGGAAGGGCCTGTCCTCAGCCATGACATGAGCTCCAACTCAGGAGTTGCAGTCCTTTTCTTGCAGAAATGGAGGCCAGATTCAATGGTTGCTCAGGAAGAAGTCTCTGATCACCTGCTAATGGTCCAGGCAACATTAGAGCAGCACCACCTTCATAGAACCATAGAAAATTAGGGTTGGAAGGACCTCGGGAGGTCAGCTAGTCCAACCCCCTGCTCAAAGCAAGATCATCCCCAACTAAATCATCCCAGCCAAAGCTTTGTCTAGCCAGGTCTTGAAAACCTCCAAGGATGGAGCTTCCATTATTTCTCTGGGTAACCTGTTCCAGTGTTTTACTACCCTCCTGGTGAGAGTGTTCTTCCTAATATCTAACATAAACTTCCCTTGCTGCAACTTGAGACCATTGCTCCTTCTTCTGTCAACTGTCACCACTGAGAGCAGTCTAGCTCCATCCTCTTTTGAACCCCACTTCAGGTAGCTGAAGGCTATTAAATCCCGCCTCAGTCTTCTCTTCTCCAGACTAAATAAGACCAGTTCCCTCAGCCTGTGGGGGCATAAGTCATGTGTCCCAGCCCCCTCACCATTTTCACTGCCCTCTGCTGAACTCCCTCCAAATTGGCTGTAGGAGGGAGCCCAAAACTGAACACAGTACTCCAGATGTGGCCTCACCAGTGCTGAATAGAGGGGAATAACACAGGTCCCTTGACCTACTGGCAACACACCTACCAATACAGCCCAGTATGCTTGCCAACAAGGGCACACTGCTGGCTCATATTCAGCATATTGTCCACTATAACCCCCAGGCTCTTTTCTGCAGAACTGCTGCCCAGCCAGTACCGGTGCACAGGATTGTTCTGCCCTAAGTGCAGGGCTTTGCACTTCTCCTTGTTGAACCTCATGAGATTTCTTTTGGTTCAATCCTCCAATTTGTCTAGGTCACTCTGAATCCTAGTCCAGCGTATCCACTGCTCCCCCCAGCTTGGTGTCC